TATTTTTCACGGAATCCCCGAATGTGTCTTGAATTAATTTTAAATCGTCAAGCGAATCGGACCACGAGTTAGATCGATGTTGCTTTAAATTTTGAAAGTTCCATCCCTCTAATGTGGTATCGGCTAGATGAATCGTATGATATGGAGAACCACCAGGCTAAAAAAATGTATCGAATGATGTATAAAATTACGAGCCTATTTATAAACATTACGCGAACAATATGAAAACACAATATACACAAATGATATGTAGAAAAGGCATAATGTCTATGATCAGTTCTGCACAAAGATGTTTGTCTTCTGTGTGAAATTTCTAGGTATTATCACAACAAAACAGTACATCACATATAATTAATTACTACTAACATGTACGATTATTTTATGGGTATTAATATTAATCATAATGTAAAACAGTTATTAGATGCAAAGGTCAAGAAGTTTGGCATTTGAAATATTAAGCAGGGCCAAACCTGCATGCTTTGTGGCACCATGACACTTCCACTCCGATGCTGTAAGGCAGTAACAAATATCACCATGATAAAAGAACCCTAAGAACCAGTACATTTCAAACACGTACAAACTTAAAAAACTCCAAAAACCATGCCTTACCTTTAACCACCATTTTCCTGTAGAAAGCCTCTATAACAAAGATAACATAATATCAATCATTTGGTAATTTTTAAAAAATATATTAGAAAAGAAAAATACTGAAATAAAATACCAATGTATTACGTCGGTATAGCATGACTCATTTAAATTCCGGATTATTCCAATTTTGGAAATTTATTATGTTAGAGAGAAATTTATAATTATGACACATACAATACCGTCGTATCGTACGACATTCATACATTTAAATCATATTTAAACATGCATCGAAAAAAAGAAATGTGTGCTGAGTATGAAACATGTGATATACTGTAGATTGAGAAGTCAGCATTAAAACATGAATACAATAGATGATTATGTTCGAAGAGTATCCCCAAGTACTGAAATGTTCAGTATGTTTGTGAACAGAAGACAAAATATGATCAAGACATGTAATGTAGCAACTATCAATGATGCTATAAAAATTGTGCTTGTGCCAGGCCATGCTAAAACATTTTAATATCTACAAAAAATAAATACAACGTACTTACACTAACGTTAATGGACTTGCTACTTAGCCGTGTCTGAGCAACGTCCGGATTTTCCAAACGATAACTAAATGCACAACTCAGCATACCTGCCATTTGAATGTCTGATTGATTGGCATAATGCTGTATTCTAAAGTAGAGACGGATTGTTGTAAAATAATTTGTTTTTATTGTAAGTAGTAATCCATTACTTACAAGGAATGAATTAAATTTTGACCAAAAGGATGTAAAGGCCATGGAGCATCAATCTCAGGTGACTGACAAGAATTTTGTCCTATATTTGAAACTGGTTGTGATATTACAAGAGCGGCTAAACACCATGCCTGAACCAAATCAGGACGTTCCAATGATGCAGCTACATTTGCATTGTATTGACACATTGCTGGGATATCTGTGATATTGATACTAGATATAAAATAAAATTAAGAAATTATTTTCTGAAAATCGATGAATGTCTCTGAAAATTGTATCGCAATTATATATTGTACTCACACATATTTTTCTGCTAGTTCTTTGTTGACGAAAAACAATGAAGAAGCATCATATATCATTACCATAAAATGATAGTTTTTACAACATGATCTATGAGTCATTCTATTTGTATTATGCAATCCCCGATTCATTTTCTATTAATTTGAAATATTTAATGAGGTTCTTACAAGTATTTCATATTATGAACATTCTCACAAAAAATTTTATTATACATACTCGATCTTGAAAATAAAAAGAACTTATAGGAATATTATCATTTGACTGTACATAAGAATTTGGATACATATGCATAAAATGTTCTCCATTGCCTATTCCGTTTCCTAATGCAGAAAGTGCTCTGGGTGTTGTACACTCTGGTTTCATGGACGACCTTCTCGTATATGAAGCACGACCAAAACATACGAGTATACCTATATACAAATAGAGACAATGAATGAAGCTTCTATTATGTACAGTATTTTGTTACCATTTCTTATTACTTTTTTATACATACCCACGCAACAAAATTTAGCACCAGATGTTCTAGGAAAGGGTATGTAGGCATCTTGATAATTTGTATACATGTTAGAAGAGTTTAAGAAATTCGCATTGTCTTGAATGTCGTATCCTAAGTGACTACTTTCGTTCTCATCCTTTTTACATGTCTATAGAAATAAGAAAAACGTTAGATATTATAAAAGATGGACGTAATCTGAGAAATATATTTCTTTTACTTGCTCCAATGTTGTAATTAATTGTCTAAGACAAGGTTCTAAACATGATCTGTTTTTTTTAACGCGTTGCTGAGCAGTTTGCTTTAAAACTTTCAACAACTTTGCCAATGTTGTATTGTCGATCGTTGTTCCATGACAGAATTGGAATGTAGGTTGCGCACTATATGGATAGTTCACAGGGAAATTTACTTTTAATATCACATTGTAACTTTTATTGGATGCTGTTACAGTACAACTACGTTCCACAGCATCCATGGTATTGACCTGCAAAGATAAAAATATATACTATATGCATTTCTATTTTACGTTTATATGTATCACCTCTATGTTTGGTATGTTCATATTTATTAAAGAAAATTCTTGTTGCAAAGTTTTTGGTTGTGTAGGAGACGATATTTCTTTATTACTTTCAATATATGCATCTGTTTCAGAATTCAATATAGGTTCATCAACTTTTGTTGTTATACAATTCATTTCATGATCAGTTTGAGCGTCATTAAGTTGTAGCTGTTGAACGGATTGTAATGTTCCTATATTAATGGCAACTATATTAGTTGAATGAAAGAAGTGCATTATATTTATAAATAAGACTGAAACATACTTAAACTATTATCTTCAGGATACTGAGTATAAATAGATGAACCATCATCTATCCCATGTCCACATAACTAGAATAGAATTATATGTTATATTTTTTATAAATAAAAATTTTAACCTTTGCACATATATGTATAGAAGTACCCACTTTCTTTAAAAATGGATCAATTTTATATATCCTCAAACATTGATCCTTTGACCAAGTAATTAATTCAAAATCACTATTTTCTGCAAATCATAAATATATTTTATGATATTTTATTCCTTTTTATTTGAAAATTTGTATACATAATACATACCCAATTTTTGATGTCTCCATTGAAATTCAAGAACAACATCAGTATGTCCTACAAAAGTATAAATGGGAGCACTGAGGTCTGTTGTATTCCATAATAACAAACTATTCTCTCCTCGTCGTAACTGCGGTACTACTATTGTTACCAGTCCTTCACCAAATGGCTATGGATAACTTATTGTTAGTTTTTATAGATAGAAATAAATGTAGATTCTCGATATATCTATATCTCTACCGTGTATCTCGCTCTCCATACGGGTGAGTTTGTTGTTAAAATGCTCTCAGCTCTTCGTGGATTACTGATATCAAAAATTTTCACTGTACAATCTTGACTAGATGTTGCCAATTGATTTTGTTGAAATGGACACCAATCTAAACCATGTATCTAAAATAACTTTTATAAGTATGTCATTGAACTTTACTAAAGTGACATTATTAGATATTATTATAGTGAATAGAGCTATTATGAAATCAGGCTGTACTTTTGTTAGATGAGCAGCTATGTACTGCATAGGACTATTTCCTTTTCTTTGATCCCATATTTTAATATCTCCATCATGAGCTGTAGCCAACATGTTGGGAGAAAGAGTGTTCCATCTTACTTGAGAAGAACCAGCTATAACACATTCAATTATATGTCTCTTTAAATGTTTGCAAATTATTTCACAATGGGTTTTATAATCTCTATATTTACCAACTGCAGATAATGATAAACAAGGCTTCCTTTGATCTCTTATGTCCCAAATATGTATAAATGTATCAATGCTACAGGAAGCAATGATATCTGGTTCTTTGGGATGCCAGTTTAGGTCACTCACAACTCTTGTATGTGCTTTTAGACTATTTGTTGTTTGTAAGTCATAATTACCAGTTCCAGTAAGAGACAGTATTTCGATACGCGTATTGCTCTAAAATTTAAATACAATTAGGTATATCTACAATATTATTTACAACATATAGATTTAGTTTCTAACCGATACAGCGCATAGATGACAATTTATACTTGTGGGGTTCCATTCTGCAGAGCCAACTTCATATTTACTTTGTCTTTGAAATTTTTTTAATACGTCAGCACTCTCGTCAAGGTATTTTATCGCGAAACATCTGCGTCTAAAAATATATAATAGAAAAAGATCACAAAAAATTAGAAAACATAAAAGTTATAGGAAATTACATACTAAATATATATAAAAATAAAAACTTCATTTTTTGTTTACTTACCCGGCAAGTAATACATAATTACCCGTTGCATCCACGGCCATAGTATTAGCCTATATACATAAAACAAAAATAATTCTATAATAAAAAACAATTGTATATCATAGTATTTAAAATTGAAATACACGTTGTTTGTAATAATAACATATATTTTCATGTAATAAGATAAACTACCTGTAAATCACGGTGTTCCGTAACGACATAGTCGCTGCCCCAACGTTTTGACATTTTACCAATAAATTCGAATTCCTGTCAGCATTCTGCAAGGTTAGAAATAAACCGAATATACGCGGACTGGAATTGAATCGTACACAGTATACGCAATCGTACATACAATCAAAGCTAGTATATGATTCGTTGCATCGCGTCCTAACCCACACATCTTTATCGGTGGGTTTCGATTGGCTGAACAAAATTCATGTACATATCCCTGCTAAAAAACAAATGTGGGCAAGGGGTAAAGCGAGAGGAAGCAATGTAAAAAGAGTAAAAGAGAGGGAAAGAGAATTAGAGAAAGAGAGAAAAGTTCAAGACGCTTCGCTGTGCTATTTCTGTCACGTAGAACGCATATATTCGTTGCATATAGGTGTACTAATATCGGGACGCAAATAATTGATAAACGGTGCGAAACAGGAACAAAAAAGAGTAGAAGTTTGACGATCCTTGATTATTGCATCGGAATTATATCAAATCTACGGTGGTTTTGTTTGACAGTGACCGTGATAATTCAAGTGATAGTGACAACAATGTCCGTAATTATGGATTGTTTTCGTCAGTAGCGGATGTGTAAAAGTTTTCTTAGTCACTTTGTTTAGCTGACTTCTAATAAACGAGTCTGATTCCTTGTTTTCTCACAACTCTTGTGGCACATTCGCCAGCGACTTTCAGTTTAGCGCGAGTTTTCGACCCTAAAAAAAAAGAAAAAAAAAAGAAGAACGGCGTCTTTTGTTTCTCAAGGGTAGTCTCGCCGTCTTGTCTGTTCTATACGCCGTTTTCCCTCTCTTTAGCTTGCACGTCACTCGCACCAGCGACAAGAAAGCAACGCTGGTCATAGCTGAAGTTTAATCTGAGAACCGATTGCTGAAATCGGACTGCGTACAGACGGTAAATTCGTCTCGATATCTTTAATTAGAGATCTGTGATGTACAAGCTCGGCGTCGCGGGAAAAATCATTACGTCCACGATTAATTTCGTACACTCGAAGAGGAAAGGAATTTTCATATATATAAGAAAGATGTACAAAGACTCAATAAGTCTTCGATGTCCGAGAAGTTTTCTAAATTTTCGATTATATTGAACACCTTGACCGTCCGACTGAGAAACGAGGTCAAGTTTAGTCGAAAAACACATTAAAGGTCATCAGCTCCTATGTAATGGAGCATTAATGACAGGAGTGTTACACTAAGAGATGCACAAAGGATATTCAGTACAGAGAGGCTGTTCTTACACAACGTAAAAGAAAACTGCTGCTTGTCGACAAGATGAAATTGCTGGAAAGTACACGTTTCGAAGCTATAAACAGTGCCTTGTCCATCAAGACTGGAGACAGCAAAATAATAGGCAGGTAAGACAATTGGAAAGATATTTAGTGGAAATATACTATTCTTTAAAATAATATTAAACATTATCTCTCTTGTTCCACAGAATAGAGAGTTACTCCTGCAAAATGGCTGGAAATGATAAACAGTTGTATAAACGTTTCAATGCAGAGCAAGGTTTTACTCCACATGATCTTCAAGCTTTATCACCACCACAAACATCTTTAGGAACATCACCTGCTCAAGGGTACTTTAGGTATTAAAAATTGTAGATGAGAGATGTAATGAAATAATAAATTTAGAAATCTGAACATTATCCTTTTAAATAATAAAAATCATAAAAATCTACAATACCTTATAAAAGAATATCTGTTTATTTTTTGACAGCATCTGTTACCTGTAGAGTGATTTAACGCTTCTCCATATTTTTGCTCCAGCCGCAGTGTTTCTGGTGATGAAGATGGTCCACTATGTGATACAATCAGTAGAAAAACATTATTCTATTTGATTGCCACCTTGAATTCAGCTTTCCATCCAGATTATGATTTTTCTGATGCTAAGAGTCATGAATTCAGTAAAGAACCAAGCTTGCAATGGGTCATGAATGCTGTAGATAGTAATTTGAGTGCAACCGCGGTTGATCATTATCGTACTCTTCGAACGGCACTTTGGGCTGCCATTGATCATGAAATATCTTTAAATGAATGTGATATTTATAGGTAAATATCTAGAATTTCATGAAAAAAAAGTGTATACTAAATAAAGTTAAGAATACGATAATATTTTAGTTACAATCCAGATTTTGCATCTGATCCATTTGGAGAAGATGGCTGCTTGTGGTCTTTTAATTATTTCTTCTATAATAAGAAATTAAAACGCATTGTGTTTTTCCCATGCAGAGCAATAAAGTGAGTATAATCATTCTTCAGTTCAACTATTGTTTACTTATATTCTCTATCATTTTTTTAAATGTGTATTTACAGTCCTCTCTACGTGTTAGATTCTGGTGTTGGCAGTGATTTTGCCATGGATGAAGATGAAGACAGATACTAAATTCATAATACATGTTTACAAACTTCATCACTATCTTTATTTGTTCTGCCATACAGAGGCATGAATGAACATTAAATTTCACCTATTATAGTAGTGTTACGTTTAACTAACCGCTACTATCCCCACCAGTTCTTAGAACTAGTTCCCCGAAACATCTGACGTTACGCAATTAAAATAAATAAACGTGTCAGACATCCCTCTTGCATTCAACAGAGTACTTAGAATTTTCTAGAATTATACTTCTCTTGAAAACCGATTAGATATGATCCCGAGCCGCGGTTAATTAACGCGGCACTACTGTACGTAACTTATTATGTACAGTGATACATTTCAAGTGTTACAATTATTTCGTTTATTTTCACTTACAGTGATGTTTATTTTTAACAGAAAATTTAATTAATTTACTTTTCCGTTTCTTTTTTGTGTACGATATTAAAGCGTAATTGTAGTCAACAAAGAATCAAACAGAAGAACAATACTGTACGATCTTGAAATTATGTTGTTTTCCTTATAAATTTATAACTTTCATATATACGTTTACTATCCAAGATATTTTAAACATATAAATCTGCTATATAGTAATCGAATCTTGATAAATCTAAGAATTAGATTTTATTTTTATGTGAAATGTTCAAAATATCAAAATAGATCTTTATTATCAACAATTATTAAAAAAGAAATCTATATAACAAAGCAACAAACTTAGTGGATTCTAAATTATTGTTGTGCTATGTTGCTCTATTAGAGCCCCTTAGAATTATTATGATAGTAACAATAGGAAAATTAAAACAAATCTAATTTGATATTATAAAACGCGAGTATAAAATTATGAGAGCAACAATAGATTTAAAAGTGCAACGTTAACTTTTGAATCCTAGTCATTATATTTTTAAGTTACGAAATATTTGTTAGCTGTTTGTGCTCTTTGCTATGAAAATCAGTCATCTGATGCTTCTTAATGTCTTTGATAAGCTTTTCATATAAAATTGTTTATGTTTCGTATATTACTTTTGATAAATATACACGATTCTAATGTATGTATTGATATATAAATACTCAGTTTTGTGCACTATAAAGATTTCAATTCAATATTTTGAATTCATTCTAAATAAACTGATTAGATCGTGCAATATGTATAAACTTTACAATACTTAGTAGATTTTACTGTAACTTTTGTGTAGAGTGGAAAATTTAATTTTATGTCACTAAAATATATATATATGTATACATATATCTCGAGAATTTAAAAAATAACATTATACTGGAGTTACTAGTTTTTGATTCAAAACAGTGATTATCTGGTAATTTGTATAATGTATGTGTATAACCTTAGTTCCCTTAAGACTACATGTTTGTCTGTCAACATTTGAATAAACTTTATGAGCTGACACAATTCAGCCATGCATTGATATTTTCTTTACCTCTTGTGTTTAGTAGTATAAAGTCTTTATCACATACATGAAATAAATAAAGCAACAAGCACAAACATTATGCCTATTTTCATTGAGTAGTAACTGTAAACCTAACTTACCTAAATTATCAGGCAATTTAACTTATTTGTACATCATAACATCAGGAGATTGATACATGCACATATATGCATCGCATAACAGTCGTTTTGCATGTTCCGGTAGATGACGATCGTCTGTCAATTCAGTTAGGTAATTTCCACCTTCTTCGCTTAACCAATATGGAAAATCTGGACATGGAACCATTTCCGGTATATTGTAACCGTTCTGTTCCCCTAAAGAAATAAGAGAAAATTTATCAGTCAGCAATAAAGATACAGTATATGAGCTTATAAAACATAATTGAAATACCTTTCCTATCAGCCATAGAATCAAAAAAGCACCAAGGTGCTTCTGAACCAGAACCACATTTTACAAAACACACATAGTGGGAGGTTTCAATGCAAACTACAGCCGATAATTCTAAATATAATCGTGGGATCAGACAATGTTCTTGTAAAATAGCGAACTCCATTGGTACTATAAGCTTCTTTGGTTCATGATTTGTCCTTCGTTCATGTCGATGCACCTAAACAAATTTTTTAAAACTTCTGTATTAGAAGTTCAGTTTTTTCTACCTGCTTATTCATTTTACCTTTTCTAAACATTGCAAACAGAAAGCAATGCTTTCAAGTCCAACGCCACATTGTCCATAGCACTCTTTACATTCGTATTCCGCTAGCTTTCCACAAACGGTACATTGCCTTGGAGCTACAAGTGAAAAATTGGACATGATTGACAAACAATATTTTTATGTTACAGCATAATAATAATGCTTACAATCCTCGATTATATCCGTTACATCAAGTAATAATGTAGGTTGAATTTTCTGGTACATCTTGAATGACTTTCCAAACCGTGGCATTTGTATAATAAGACACGAAGGAACTTCTTTTAATCTTATATTACTCGTAAGAAAACTCTGTTCTAATAGTTGCTGAACAGTTGGAAGATTTAAGTGATCATCTTTTTCGACAAAAAGTTGGTAATGATACGCATCTTGACCAGAGCTTAATTTAAGAAACGGTTCAGCATTTAGAATTTGAGCAACCAGGGATGTTAAAAATTCCTCAGGATCTGAAAAATTTAAACAATTTTATTTATTAAAATATTATTCATCTATGATCAAATACCTTTTTCTTCACTAGTGAGCCCGGACACAGACGATAATTTTTCAAGTAAAGTCCGGAGCTTCATCACTCGATCTGCCCTTACAAACATATTTTTCCTAAGTGGATTTACAATTTCTTCGCGTAGTACCCTTTGTACTTCTTCGTACTGTGGACAATCTTTTTCATTTGGTGGTCTAAAAAGCAATATATTATGTATGACATCATTTTAATTTGAAAAAATGAAAATGGAATCAGATTCGATACCTAAATAAAAGATTATCAAAAACGCTAGTAAATGTGAACATGCTGAAAAGAGTAGCATCCAAGTAGCACGAATTGTGATGACCTTGAATTCCTCGATATTTTCCACAAATACTTTCCAAATTTCCTTTTACGGAAATAGGTCGTACCATACCAACAATAACAGAGCTTTCCATATTTCCGAAATTATCCGTACTTATCGATGTTGTTGGATCATCAATTTTTGCCTATATAAATATATTTCGTTACACTACTGCAAAAAGAATATACAAAGTGGTAATACTTACTATGGTATCATATCGTGAACATTGGTCAAGATCCGTGAAAACAGCTCTGTGAGGTCGACAATGGAAATATCTTACATCTTTATATGTTCCGTCAGTACCAGATGGGTGATTATCATCCTAAAAATAAAACAATTATATTTTCTTTTTAATTTTTTTGAAAGTTCCTTTTTATTGTTAGTTTTTATGTTATATGTACCAATTCTACAGCTGCCATCAATTTACCAGGAGTAATACCAGGGGGAGTTCCGATCCAACGAATAATTCCATAGTGTACATCAGAATCCAACAGTACTTTCACATTTGAACCCACAATTAAATCTAAATTTTCTGTTCGTCCACATTTTTTATTTTCATTCTTTTCAGGTGTATTACCTGTTATAATAATAAAAATATATACTCATGTATTGAAATCAAAATAAAAACATTAGCATTAATAGCATTTCATAGAAAAGCTCAATTGTACTGAAATTGTGTATTGAAATTAAGGAAAAAAAGAGATGGAATGTAATTTAACATGCTAAATAAATATGAAATATGGAACGCTAGTGAAGTGAAGAATGTCTACTATTCCTTACTACAACCCAATGAACTTGAACGTCCAAGTGTCCCTTCAATATCACTATACACATTTGATTCAATATCACTACTCCATTTATGTTCTAATACAAAGAGGGGGATATTTTGCAAAGCAGCAGCCATTTTATAATAAAATTATGAGAAGTTTACAACACTAAAAAGCTTGCCGATAGTACAGAGTGAGACTAAGATTCTGGTTATTTTTAACCATCTGAGTTATTTTTAACTCCCTCTACTACATGTGGTAGGTAAAGGCAAGTATACCATGCAGAATTTTTAGAAAAGTTAGCAAACTATTCTACTAAGCAATAAACTGAGAAAACTTAAAATTTATTTTTATATTTTTGTAATTACCATGGGTGGTGGTGTTCTTAGTTACACTGCTGTCATTTTCATGTGTTGTTGATTTTATTGATTGATGATATTCTTTTGACAGAGATCTTTGGTTTCTATTATTATTTTTATTATCATCATATAGAGTGAATCTTTCTAATAAGACAGGTGGTATTGTATCCAATACAGATTTTTTCTTATCATTTGTATAATTATTGCCTGTTTCAATCTTTATACAAGAATCTGAAATAAAATATTCAATTAATGAATTAAAATTCTACAAAAATTGAAAGATATAGAATATTTATCTTTGTACTTTTATCTGGTTTTGCAAGACCTGTAGGACCTCCAGGTTTTATTGGGAAAATATTACTTAGTGTAGCAAATCTTCCTTCAGAGTGAGTAGAAACAAAATATTCGTTGCTTACTAAAGCAGTCTTAGATAGTTGGTCGCCATCCTACAAATATATTGTCATATAGGTATATTCATATTCATTTAGTAAAAAATATTAAGGGTATAAACGACAATACACAAAATATTTCATGGAATTACCAACAAATCAAGGCCAAAATAATATCCTTGCCCAAGCTGTGGCACAGGTCCAATATACTTAATAATAGCCAAAAATTTGGTACATCCCGAGGGATCAGCACAATACCAAACAGTATCATTTATTTCTAGGTTCATAAGTTCTTCACATAAGTGTTTGTAATTTGCCAAGCGAACCCTCTCTTGAGGGACTGACACAGCAGGTAGAAATTTCCATACTTCTGGTGTAACAGAAATCAGATCAAATTTGTGGCATCGCCATTCAGTGCCACGCCAAATTTCGGACCCTGCCGTATCAATCACGCGTACTTTGAGTGCGCTATCTCCTAAATCTTCGACAGCTTCGACCAGCATGCCGAGACGTAATGTATTGACATTTTTGTCACATTCACTGGACATACGCATGAGAATGGTATTTTGCTTGGCGACAAAATACTGTGAGATCTGTCGGTCTTCTTTATTACTGGAATTCCGCTTTTCCATGATTAATCGTAGACGATCATCATAATAAAATAATTTATTAACCACATGTGCGGAACACGCGGATAAAGAGAAACGTTTATCTCTGTCACTGTACAATTTTTGTTTTATATCAAATTAGACAAATATAGAAGGAAATGTAGAGAAATAGAAACTCTACATCCATGTTACTTAGTGTATTATTAAGATTTGAGAGTATCCAGTAAAATTATTTAAAGAAATATTGTTTAGAGTATGAACGAATACCTACGAATGACAATCAAATTCAAGCAGAAGAATGTACTTTGACTGTCAATCTATGTAGGGTATTTAATAGTGAGAAGATGGGTTGCATTGTTGGTAATCACTAGTCGGAAATTTTAAGCTGTGTTCTCATTCATCACATTGGATTGAGCTTTATTTTAGAGGTCCAAAAATTATAGACTCTTTTTTATTTACGATCTTATAGTTTTCAACATGTAAAATCTGAAAACACAAATTTTAAATTGCGGAGTCTACTGGTTGAAATGTAATGATTATATAAAACTGAGCATTTTTAGGGTATTTTACACTTTGGCGCCATATTGGCTTCTACCCATTCTTCCTCCAATGACTAGACTATACAGATGACATCTGATTGGTCGCACAGATAAAGTTATATACTCTTGACTTCCGCTTATCTTATTAAAAAATGTAATGTCTTCGAATCGCTCCCATCAACAATCCTATCAAATTAATGTTGTTATAATTATAATCAAATAAATAGATCATAAAAACATCCGCATTCTTGTGAGACGGACAGGAATGAGTAGAGCATCCCTGTTTCTGTCAGAGACATTCATAGCATCACAAGAAACATCTTGCCTTCCATGTTCATTTTTCAGAACTAGTCACGACTAAATTTTCGGACGGTTTTCCTTAGGTTTCAGTATATGTCTGTCGAGACTTATTTATATGATCGTGGTTATGACGGAAACATTACAGGTTATGATACCACAAAAGGTTGCACAGGCGATCGGCAAATTCATCATCATAGATGAGACCTCTATCCTCATCTAATCTTTAGTTGGTAGCTAATTCGATTTTATTTTTTACATATGCGTACTATTTGTAGCTGTAGTTGAATTCTCAAAAAGTTAATTTGTATTAACGTAATCGGCCGCCTCACGACAGTTTAGAGTTTAGTGAGTCAAACATATCAGATTAACCCGCCAAAATGGCCGTCATCTCGTGCAGTCAGTGACTCTACGGACTTCACTCATTAGACAAAGCATGGAAATAAGTCAATATGGTGTCAAAGTAACATGTAAAATGTCCCAAAAATGACTAGTTTTACATAGTTTTACTTTCGAACCGCGATTTAAAATTTGCATTTTTAGATTTTACATGTCAAAAACTATAAGATTTTGACAAATAAAAAAGTTTATAATATTTGGATCCCTAAAGTTCAGCCTACGAATAAGTCGATCATGTATCATCCTATATGTTTTCTGTATACTTGTTTATACATAAATTTTTTATGATATCTAAAAATAATAAGACATTTAACTAATCATGGTTAAAATCATTTTATATGCAAAGCACGTGAATCTTCATTATAAAAGATATCATTTTTTGATATTGTTACATTACAGAGATAAATTTTGTAGTGTATGAATCTTATCATAGTAAATTTTCATCGTAATAAATTACATTATTTTAAAGTTTTGTAATTTAAATTATTATATCTTTTTCTATAATATCGAGATCAAAATCAAAATTATAAATTACTAAAACCAGCTAAAACTTATAAAATTCATATTCTTTCGAACATAATCGATTAATCGAGAATAAGAGAATAAATTTTTCGATTTATCGATAGGATACGTTTGCCTCTGCTGAGTTTGCATAGAATGACAGTTCTACAGGCAAGTAGTGTGTAAGTATGTACAAGTGCTTATTCCACTGTCAATTAATCCACGTGATGATCAAAAATTTATGATTATTTTTTTTTTTGATTTTTTACGTTTCGTTTTCTCAGGCGCAACTCAGGCCATTCTGATTATCCACTTTTTTTACTGATGTCGCCGACTGCGTATTATGGATAATAAAGGAAAACCGATTTGCCAAGATATATGTACTGATTGAAGACACCTAATGCAAAGTGATTCTTTCTTCACGCGGAATGACAGTGATTCACTGTAAGAAATTTTTTTGAAAGATTAAGAATATCGTGCATGTAAATTATCATCGATCATTCTTTTTCATATTTCATATTTCAATATTTCAATATTTTCGATGAATTAGCTACAATAAAATTCTAAAATTACGTCGTACATTTCGTTCGAACGGATACCATTAATGGAATCGTATTTACCATTATCAGAAGTTGGATAGGAATGTTCATTCAATGACTTCAGAATTGGCGTAGCTAACATTAACGACGCAATGGAAAAATTTGCTATTGATTTGGACAAGGTTTTGGATGATTTCGAATTTAACGAAGGTAAAATTTATTTAGTTTGTTTTTATCTCTGTTTTAAATATACTCGAGATTCTATAAAGTTCCTAATCCTGGTTTTCTTGATAACTTTTTCCAAGTAGAATAATTTTTCTATTAAAACAATTTCAATTGTATAATTTCTTTTTTTTATAAAAATTGATTTATAAATAACTTCGCTTTTTTTTTAAATAATTTCATGTTTGATAGAGATATTTTTATTTTTTGGTACTATTAATGTTACATATTTGTTAATATTAATATAATGAATACATATTTCAGACTGTGCAGAGCAAATAGCATCTGATAATCTTTCAACAAACAATGCGTCATCTTCTTCAGTTAAATGTAATCTAGAACCTTCAGCTTTAAAAGGTTATAATTATCTTCTAATAGAGCCTAAGAAAGAAAATAAAGAGTTTGATATTATATTACCTGTAGAAAGGCATAAAGACTTGCAACAAATAAATACAAAAAACAAATGTATTAATGAAAATGATATAGTTTCTGAGAATCTTAATTGTAGTACAGAACAGACAACAATAGAAAATACTGATGTAAATCAGTTTTATATACAAGAATGCACAAACGAGAATAAGTCAATACAAAAACAATCTGTTTCATCTTATGATTCTGAACAGGTTTCTTTAGCAACATATAATGATATATCACAAAAGGTATTACAAAAACAACAAAATAGTAACAACAGCCCAAAGATTGACAATAGGTATGATAAGAAATTGAACCAGTCGAATCTGAAACCTAGTGTTAGCAATGTTTTCAGCAGTTTGAATGAGTACATTAATGCTCCACCTGGAAGTTCAGATTGCATTCATTCCATATTAAGTGATTCAGAAATACAATCTGATTTTGAGACTAAGGTACCTCAGATAATCCAGAGCAGTGCTAAAGATAGTGATGAAAGTATACCACATAAACAGACAGCTGATATACCTGATCCAACTAGAGAAATTCCTGTTTTAAGCTATCAGGATGCCACGATACCCATAACGGTAGAATTACCAATTACATATGAAACTAATATTAAAGAGAATGTAAAAAATGTTCATGTAACAAATTTCAAACCATTGGAAAGCAAAACAGACTTTCCTGAAAAAGTTGCTCTAAATGAAGCTTGTATTGAATTAAGTAATAAAGCAGAAATTAAAAATGACAAAACACATAACTATAATTCTGATAGGATAGATCAGGAAAAAAATTCTATGCCTAAGTGTACTTGTATACAAGGTGGTTATTATGAAAATGAGTTTACAACACCCATAACGGTAGAATTACCAATTACATATGAAACTAATATTAAAGAGGATGTAAAAAATGTTCATGTAACAAATTTCAAACCATTGGAAAGCAAAATAGACCTTCCTGAAAAAGTTGAACTAAATGAAGCTTGTATTGAATTAAGTAATAAAGCAGAAATTAAAAATGACAAAACACATAACTATAATTCTGATAGGATAGATCAAGCCTAAGAAAGAAAATAAAGAGTTTGATATTATATTACCTGTAGAAAGGCATAAAGACTTGCAACAAATAAATACAAAAAACAAATGTATTAATGAAAATGATATAGTTTCTGAGAATCTTAATTGTAGTACAGAACAGACAACAATAGAAAATACTGATGTAAATCAGTTTTATATACAAGAATGCACAAACGAGAATAAGTCAATACAAAAACAATCTGTTTCATCTTATGATTCTGAACAGGTTTCTTTAGCAACATATAATGATATATCACAAAAGGTATTACAAAAACAACAAAATAGTAACAACAGCCCAAAGATTGACAATAGGTATGATAAGAAATTGAACCAGTCGAATCTGAAACCTAGTGTTAGCAATGTTTTCAGCAGTTTGAATGAGTACATTAATGCTCCACCTGGAAGTTCAGATTGCATTCATTCCATATTAAGTGATTCAGAAATACAATCTGATTTTGAGACTAAGGTACCTCAGATAATCCAGAGCAGTGCTAAAGATAGTGATGAAAGTATACCACATAAACAGACAGCTGATATACCTGATCCAACTAGAGAAATTCCTGTTTTAAGCTATCAGGATGCCACGATACCCATAACGGTAGAATTACCAATTACATATGAAACTAATATTAAAGAGGATGTAAAAAATGTTCATGTAACAAATTTCGAACCATTGGAAAGCAAAACAGAGCTTCCTGAAAAAGTTGCTCTAAATGAAGCTTGTATTGAATTAAGTAATAAAGCAGAAATTAAAAATGACAAAACACATAACTATAATTCTGATAGGATAGATCAAGAAAAAGATTCTATACCTAAGTGTACTTGTATACAAGGTGGTTATTATGAAAATGAGTCTACAACACCCATAACGGTAGAATTACCAATTACATATGAAACTAATATTAAAGAGGATGTAAAAAATGTTCGTGTAACAAATTTCGAACCATTGGAAAGCAAAACAGACCTTCCTGAAAAAGTTGCTCTAAATGAAGCTTGTATTGAATTAAGTAATAAAGCAGAAATTAAAAATGACAAAACACATAACTATAATTCTGATAGGATAGATCAAGAAAAATATTCTATGCCTAAGTGTACTTGTATACAAGGTGATTATTATGAAAATGAGTCTACAACACAATTGCAAGATAATGAAAGTAAATTAAGCGTGGAAAATATTGGTACAAGTGAGAAACATAGGAGCAGCTTAAATTCAGTATGTAAGCCAATTGGATTTAGTAACATTGATAATTTATCAGAAGATGAATTGACCAAATATTTAGCTGAATTAGAAGAAGAGGAGAAATTAAGGGAAAGCTGCAATAAAAAAGATGAAAATAAACAAAATGTCCAAGTTTTCCCAGATACTTCTGTAGAATCTCGAAAAATGATAGAATCAGAATTAAATGAAAGGATAGAAAACATTTCAATAACTGACTGTCAGAAAAAGGAAATGGATAAAGAATTATTAAATAATGCATTAATGAAACAAAATGTACAACAATCTGATGATCGATTAAATGAAGACAGATTAAATAAACACAAAGATATTTTAAATAATCCAAGTGGTAAAGAATTAAAATTGTTGCATAGAGATAATGTAGCTAAAGATGATAAAATGAAATTAGAAAATGAATGCGTGCCTGATACAGAAGATATTGAAGACAGCCAAGAACGTCCTACGTATAGTTTAAATATTAATCAAGGATCACTAAATGATGGCAGAACTGAGATACAATTAAAAGAGCAGAAAGGAAATTCTACGCAATATAATCAAGCTGGTGAATTAAAAATGCCAAGCGATATTGATAATATTTCGGAAGAAAGAATTTCAACGACATCTGAGCTAAATACATTAATTGATATGACAAAACATAATGATGATGCAATATCTACGTCTGTAGATGTTTACACAAGACCAAATGTAAGTGATACTAGCAATGATTCAGAGAAGCCAGTACGTCCCCAAACATTGGATATTGTTTTGTCAAACAATAGCACAGAACACCAAGTACTTGGTTCTACAAGTGATACACCATCTTATCAAGTTCAATCAGATACTGATGGTATAAAAGAGGAGCAAGGATCTTCCCCGGATATTTTAGACAATTCTTTACCAGAATCTGGCTCAGTTCTGGGAAAACAACCACCGTTCTGGGTTCCCGATAGCGATGCTCCTAGTTGCATGCTCTGTGATGTTAAGTTTACCGTTATCAAAAGACGACATCATTGTCGGGCATGTGGAAAAGTGTTATGTAATAAATGTTGTAATATGAAATATAAATTAGAATATCAAGGAAACATTGATTCACGCGTTTGTGTTTCTTGTTATCAGCTTCTTACTAAAGGTAACTTTTCTTCAATTTAATATTATTTGAATTATTTTAACATTTTTCTTTATAATATTCGGAAATAAAATGTTATCCTTTTAGCTGAAACAGAGCAGGGTATGGGAGAATGGTCTTCTGGTTATTCCACATGTATGAATAATAATGATATCAATTCGCCCCAGGTATGTTAGATATAAATTATTTTATATGTATAGTGTTATGAATCTTTTTTTATGTGTAAATATATAAATTTTACTATTCTCAAAGAAATTGAGAAGAGTTCTTTAAGTATTACTCTTGTTTTATAACGGACTATTAACGATTTGTAGAACTGGTCAAAAAATATATGTATATTTATTTGATTAAATGTTTTTATCTTCGAATTGTTCTCTCACATTATTTTATATATTTTCGGTTTGTTTGTGTTCTAGATTTTGCATATTTGCATGTTTGGTTTGTTTATTTATGTTTTCGATTTATTTGTTTATATCGTCGTATTGACGAATTCTACAAAATGGGATTATGACATATTAATAATTGATGGTAACACTTCTGGAGCTCTCTTCACTGACACAAAGTATATACTGAGTAGCTTATCATATTTTTCATTTTAGTATAGCGTTTAATAATTACTTTCAATTGTTTTTAATCTTTTGTTTCATTAATTTGATTCAGTTGTTTACAAAAATAGCAATATGAGATATTATACTACTAAATCTTTGATTGTGATTTCTACTACATTCTTATGAATGTTAATATTCAATAAAAATTTTTGTTTATTAATTTCCTAGTTTCTATTGAAAACAACTTGCAATGGAATCTTGTAAGACTCATTAATCTCCTACATTTCTTCAATTTTTATTACGTTATTTTTCCTTTTTTAATTTGTAAATATTTTGTTGAATTTATTAATTCAGAATAAATATACAAATTAAATTTAGAAGAAGCTTTTCACTTTGTGAATTAATTTAAATTAATTGTGAATTAGTATGAGTTTTGTGACCACCTATAACAACTTGTTGAATACTTCTTTCTTGTTAGAATAAATTTATGTGAGAAGATACTAATTTGATACAAAAGCTTGATATTTTTTAACTAAAACTAAATGTTCACTGTTTAAAATTTTTTCTTAAATCATTTAGGTAATAAATTCATAGTAATGTATTTTACCTGTTTGTATTATGTTCTTTGTACATTATGAATGTTTCTTATTTCTTTTGCCATGCATTGCAAATATAAGGCATGTGTTCGAACTGTAGTATTTTTGTGAAAAGTGACTTGTTTGCTTCTTACTTTAATAGTAATTAATATCCAATAAATATGAAAGATTTCTCATAGTTTGCATTAATTCAGTTGTACAGATTTATTAACAAATAGTTGCTTGAAATATTACATTAAAATTTTGTTAAACGTATATTATATCCTTTGTCATTTTATTTATCTTACTGCTAATAGTGCTTGTTTGTCTTATTTAAGCTTTTTGTGAATTTTTCAAAGCAAACAAATTCTTTTTTAACATTAATATTTCTAAGACAAGATAAGATTTTTAAGATATTTAGTGAAACATAATTTCATTATATTGAAACATAATTAAAATACAATTAACAGAAAAGTACTGATATTTTATGTGCATGGCTTGTGTTTGCTGGATAAAGAAATAAATGTGAATGTTAGGAGTATTCGACAAATGGTTATAGGGGAGACAGCCTAATCCAAATAATCCCATGGAGTACTGTTCAACTATACCACCCTTGCAACAGTTAGCTGGCGGCTTGCCTCCACCTCCTACGGTTATGGTACCCGTTGGAGTCCTTAAAAGGGAAGATGGTACAAAGAGTCGGCCTGAAATTTCAAAATCTGTTATGTTCAGTGATGGTGAGTGAAGGTTATAAATATTATGTTATTTAGATTTATTTAAATCAAAAGAAATGCATTGCTAATGAATTTGTCTTTTTTGAAAGTTAATATTTCAGTTTTTATATGCGTTACAAATATGTGATTTGGTTTATCACAAAAATTATTTTTGTTGATATATTAGAACTATGCTTATGGCTGCATATAGCTGTATAATATTTAACACTTAATGCTTAATATATATTATTCAAATCTACAACAATTTTATGTAATAACTCTTTACACTTTACTCTTAACATACCTTATTATAATATTTTTAGTTCTTTGAGTTAAAGTTACACTCCTCTGCCCAAGTTATTATTATATTTTACTTTTCACCTCCTTCAAATATTTTACCCTTACGCTGGACCTGTTCCTTCCTGTTTGTTTTGGTTTTATGCACCTCTAACTAAAACACAGGAATAAGGCCTGGCTGTGACCTGACAGAACTAGACATGTCGTGGGATTTGAAACCACCATACCGGAAATCTGGTAGTAAGAGAATACCAACACCTGGCTCATCTGTACCAAGTACGTCTGTCAAGAAACAGAACCTACCACGTTTTGACCCAAATACAGAAAGTTATGTGCCACAAGACCCTAATGCGCTTCCACCAACAGTAACGATACATAAAGGACGTGAGTAATAATCTTATTTACAGGATAGTAGTTCTATGTTAATGTTGTATTACATAAATATGTTCAAATATGTAAATCAGAGGTATCATATCATGCTGTAACGGACGAGAATCTTCTATACAAAACGCTGAAAAATGAATGTGAACCACCTGTTATGTTTGCGATTAATCGAAATCTCTATGCATATGTCAAAATGGTAACTTGTAAGTATAAATTAAAGGTGTATATAATTTCAGATATTATACAATTACTAATAAATTCATTATTTGTAGTAAATTGTTGTGTTAATAAAACATGTTGGAATGTAACTTCGAAAGGATTGGATTGTGTTGGACAAGATGAAATTATATTATTAATCGAGGTACTACCTGATGAAATCCGGGTTCCTAAAGATCTGCTCCTTTTTATTAACCAATTACGTCTTGAAGCTATGAAAGGTATTATTTATATTCTATATTAATTAATTTACAATGCTACATTACTTTGATTTCATGCAGGAAACATTGTGTCCGAATTGGGATTTTTAATATACCAGGGAGGAAATTTCTTGGATTCTCGGGAACACGCAGGGTTCTTGTTTATTCGACAAACATCGCAATGCTTGCAAAAAATTATATTACCTCCTGGCCCGTACCTATTTGGCCTCCTAGTTCATAGGTTTGTTGTTTTTAATAATGCAAATTTAATGGCTATTGAAAATGGATCAATTTGCTATCTTGATATCTATAGGTGGGAAACACCATGGGCGAAAGTATTTCCGTTACGCCTTGTCTTACGACTGGGCGCAGAATATCGTTACTATCCGTGCCCGTTGTTCTCGGTCCGGTTTCGGGATGCATTATACTTTGAAATAGGACATACTGTTATGAAGGTTTTAGCGGATTTCAGAAATTTTGCGTACACGTTACCAAGTGTAAGGGGACTAACAATTCACTTAAGAAACAGAATGACAGATGTAATGTTTCCGAGAAATCGATACGATCAAGTGATCAAAGGTTTAAATAATTCGAATGATCACGTATTAGCATACGCTTCAAATTTTAGTATTGCTGCTGACTCACATTTAGTCTGTATACAAACTAACACCGGTGATGAAAGCACTTATCAAACGCAAGCGATAAGTATCAATAATAATCCAAGAACAAGTACGTATTCGATTTTTACTTATTTATGTATTTATTTGAATATTTTGAAAGTAATTGTTCAATCGATACAGTAACAGGTACTAGTTTTATCGTGATTAACGGAGCATTGAAATCATCGATGGGTTTGTCAGCGAAATCTAGCATAGTTGAGGATGGATTAATGGTAGAAATAATGCCAGAGAAAATGGAAGCCTTGAAAGCAGCTCTAAAAAATATGCAAGACTTTTCAATCGGATGCGGTCGACAAGGAGCACCCGAGCCGGATGAAACAGTGAACATAAAGTGGGTCGATAATGATGTGCAATTCAATGTAGGGTAAGTATTACTATAATAATTATTTATAATCATCTATTTAAGTCTATGTTGCGTGTTTCCAGGGTAAAAAGTCCTATTGATAGACGACCTATGGATGGTATTCCTTCAATCCGAATACACAATGGTATTGATTATAAAGGAACGAGTAGATTTATACGATGGACAGAAGTATTTATCATTAATGTACGTTTAGAAAAAAATATTATATAAATTCTGAATTGTTTATTATATTTATAATATATAACATAGAATATTATCTTTTTAAAGTCCGATGATCATCCGAATGGTGTTCATGATCCTGTGGATATAAATAAATTATCAGGAAATATAGCGAAAGCAACATGTACAGCCTTAGTGAAGTTATTGGACTTATTAGCCAATGCTGGTTTAACAAAGCTTGGTGTAAGAACAACTATTCATCCTGACAATGTAAGTTTAGTGTGACAATTTATAAGCTTCTTTTATAAAGTGTGAAAAAATAATCAGATTTTAGTCATTTAACATAATTTCTTTGAAAAGAGAAATATAATAAAATTATAATCATAATAATACTAGGTTGGTTATGAAGCCGGTAGCGAAGGTATGAAATTGCCTCCAATCTACATGAAGAGTTTAGACAACGAATTAATTCAAGTTCTGCATAAAGCAGCGCAAAGTAGTCAAGATACGCATATTGTGCTTGAATTAATTTTTTACATACTCGATGATTGAAACCTTGCTCCGTTCGCTCCTGTTTTGTTAACGATTTTATTAATATAACATAGTAGAAATATAAAGCTCGTGATGTTCGTACACGACTGAAATGTATAATTAAAAAACTCGTGGAACCACTAAAAAATAGATCTTTTGAGCGGAAAATATTTTCTATCTGAATACTATCTATCTATAATGATACACAAAAGCAGCGCTTATATTATAAAAATATATCGAATCATATTTGAGTATAATTATAACAGAGAGAAATTATGAAATTTAAAATTAAATAGATAATGAAATTTGTTTTAAATTGTATTAGCTTTGATCTTTTGGAACTCAAATTTGTTTGCTTTTTATGAGGAAAGAACATTGATATCACAATTTTTGTATATCACATATATATATATACATATAAATTTTATAAAAAAGAAATATCGATGGAAAATTTTTTGCGACTAAAATCAAAATGAAGTACCATTATTTGTTATTGTGTAAATATATCTGTTTTGTTGTTATTCGTGTAATATGTGTATAATGATAGTTAATAGTACTTTTCTGTCAAAAGAGTATTAAACATATTAATGTAATAAACTGAAAGATTCTTATTTATCTTTTCATAATTTAATAAGAACAAAATTTTAAATTGTAAGGATTTTTTGACAAAATAGTTTTTAACATTTCAAATTAATTTTCCTTTATGTATGTATGTTAAATTTTATTAAATATTGATAGAAATGATACAAATAATGATACGATGGTAAGATACAAATTGTTGTATTTTGAATAATTAATCAAGGACTTAAGGTTTAAAACTAAATATTGTGACTATGATAAAAGAAATTTGATTGCGTAATTTGATTCACTATAATTTATACATTGCAGATAAGAAATTGATTTAGGAAATTTCCTGATATTTGTTTAATTTTCAATAATGTTCAAATTTTATCAAATTTTGTAACCTTTACGTTAGGTGAAATTTTTGTACTTTGATGTTGACCTTAGCAGGAAAATAAACTCTATGATATTTCAATAGAAAGAATTTAAATATGGGAATACTTATGACACGAATATTGATAATAGTAACTACTAATAATAATTTGTAAATATGTATGTATGATAGCTGAAATATGTAAGTTTGTTTTATTGTCATAGCATACATTTTGTATTTGAAAATAGTTAACAATAATCAGTAGAAAAAACATTCTTCTGACTTATGATATAGTATTTTTGTGATTTAGTCTGTAAATTTTCTTTCTTTGATCTATCTTGTAATGTTTTAGAAGTTAGATTGAATCTTTATAATTTGATGTTTCGGTGTCGTACGGTATCGAAACATATTGAAATACCAGAAATTTATAATAACCTTTAGTTTCAATTAGCAAGATGGTGAATAACACATACTTCTATATTGTTGTAAGCAATGTGATTATCGACATATATAAATGTTTATATTTGTTATTAAAAATTTGGGAAAAGAAAATCCACATATTTTAAGAGTGCAGAATTTTATTTTTTATTGCTTGTATTGTAAGATTGTCTAAAAAGCTGTTTAACATGATAAAAATTGAATATACAAATTAAGAGTATAATTGCAACAAATTTACTTGACTGCAAGGAATTGTATAAAGTAGACTTAAAACATGTAATTTGTTAATGTAGCATGCAGATCAAGTTGACAAAAAAGCTAAAATTTGTAATTCGCAATAGAAAGTGATGTAAATAAATAAAGAAAATATTGTGTGGGTAACGTTTTTGTGTTCATATTTTTATCACGTTTAAAAGAGAATGAACGTTAGCATATATAAGAACCTATCAAAGTAGGGATCTACCCTGTTCGGTTGCTATTTAACATATATAAGAACCTATGTATTTAAGTTTAAAGTTATAGATCTGCTCTGTTTGTTTGCACACTAGCATGGACAAAAACCTATTGAGTTCCATTCTACAAGAATCTATTTAATTGTACGGTCGTACGGAAAAGATTATATCTACTTTCCTATCCAAAGTAGACAAGTATGAGAATAGCAAAATCACACAATAATGAAACTAATTGTAAGTTGCCTAAGATAGAGAAATTAATTGTTTACTACATTTTTTTTAGAGAAGAAAAGAGAACATTCCTTTTCAAACGATAATGGATCAGTGGAATGATGCAATAATCTTAATATATTTTTTATACGCGATAATATTTTAGATTTAACATTAATTCTTGGCACTTGGCATGTTAATTGTACTGGCATGAATATTTTTTCATCGTCGGCATATAACCACGTATTCTTTTTTCTTAGTACGTACTAATTCTGATTCCTACTGATCGCGGAAACTCTTATATTTGTAAGGTAAGGCAAAACGATCACTATGAAGTCAGCCCAGAGAACAGTCGTTTCTGAAGAATCAATTCGTACAATGATTCTAGGAGCATTCGAAGGAAAGCTTTCCGTTGAGGTTGAGGAAGAAGACATCAAGAAAGAAGGGCGAAAGTCTCAGGAATCAAAAGGAAAAACGAAGAGCAGTTAGAATTTTTTCGAAGGCAGAAATTTACATTCGAATAATACAAGTGTCTGACTCAAACGTTTTGGATGGTTTTCCTTTATAAGATGGTTTATTGGTATAGAGATATACATATTAAGTATATCTAATATTTGTAAATGTATTGTTTATTTTCTTTGTTCTCTGTTAATAAATTATTATATTCTGACATTTTGCACTATTTCTAACCCTAGTTTATATGTACCATAAAAAATTCAGATATGTTAAATTTTCGTAAAAATTTTTGATTTTCTTCCGAAATGAAATTTTCGCAACCAATATTGACATAATTTACTATAATTTTAAAAATAATTTTTTTGGTAGGGAGTTCTGATTGGCTATTTTTTAAATTTTCGTTGAAAAATTTCGTATTTTCGTTTCATCTTTCACAATCTTCCTCCTATCTTTTCGTCATTCTTTCACTGGATACAAAATGAGAAGTATCATTTCTTTTCAATATAATGTGAAATGTTCATTTTAATATAATTCTTCGAATTTTAAAAAATCAAAATTCATAGAATTAATAATTTTGAGTCAATAATGAATGAAAGATGGATAAAAAGCGTGGTTAGTTTCGTGGTTACATATATATGTCGTTACGTCTTCATGTCCTTATATCTCGCTTATAGTCAATTGGCTTTTTTTATTTTTATCGTTTTTGTAACTCATTTGAATCATGATTTTACTTAAGTTACTCCGTTCAGACATCAGCGTCGTTCAACTGACAGTTGGCCTGTATCACCGCGCGTTGCCGTATATCGGGAGTTTTATTATTTTTGTTAACTTCTAAAGTAAATGACTTCCGAATAGTTCTTAGAGTTTATTTAACATGGTATTTTTTAAAACGATCCATACATAATGCTACATCGCATACGTCGCATTTAAAAACTGTTTCTTTCCGAACTAACATAGATAAGCATATAATGCATCGTTTTGATGTTTTCCTTCGCCTTTTTAGTGTTGGAGGTAACCGTATAGGAAAATGCCGGCTAGTATATCGCGTTAATGTATCATTGATAGATGATGCCTCTCTTACTCTTACGTTTGCTAAGTATTTTTCAATAATTTCTTCGGCTAATCTTTGCTTGTAGACAGGAAAAGCTCGACCTTTTTTATTGTTTTTGAAAATTATATAACTCTTTAGTAACATCATGTTTATAAAGTAAAAAATATTTTTTATAGCCTTTTTTAAGCAGATATAAACTTTTCCGTAGAACCGTACAATTAAATAGGTTATTGTAGCACGAAACTCAATAGGTTTTTGTCTATGCTAGTGTGCAACCAAATAGGGCAGATCCCTAACTTTAAGCTTAAATATATAGGTTCTTATATATGCTAAAATGCAACCAAACAGGGTAGATCCCTACTTTTATAGGTTCTTGTATATGTTAACTTTCGTTTCCTTCAGCACTTGGTCGCGTGGTGCAGCACTAGTCCGGGAACAACCAGCAGCATAAGCGTGAGCACTCTCATTTCCTCTCTGTTAATATTAGGAGTATCGCGAAGACGATTCTACATACAACGGGAGTGCCGGTGCATGAGTGTTTAGTGATCAATGAACTCAGCGTTGCTGTATATTGGGGCGTGCTGCCACGGGTCTTATTAAGCCGGCAGACGTATGTATGAGAGAATCCAACATTTTCTGTTGCTTCATAATGTAGTTTGATTGATTCTTTCCCTTTAAAGATCCTAGGCCCCGCCTTTTCTCTTCGTATCACTTCTCGTATATTTAAGATGCATCACTATGGATCTTTTATTTCTCATTTCTTAAGACAATTTAAATTGATTTATCTATTTATTTCAATTGGAAATTCATGTCTCATAGAGGAAATTTAATAGCGGAGTACGGTCGACAAAACTATAGTTCAGAATATCGGTATCTATTTGAATGTTAAGATCATTAATTGATCGACAAATCAACACTTTCAACCCTTTTAACTACAGCCAATCTCTTAACGTATTCCATTAGCACTGTTCGATTAGTAGTATAATCGGTATAATCATAGTCTTGACGTAACATCGTAACATCGTAACTTCTCGGTGAGATACTTCTAGAGTGGATTGTTGAATAATAAGTCAATAACACTTACATTTAGCACACATCATCTTTGTAAGTTATGTAAACAAACGTTAGTAATTTTTTTGAAATTATACAGCATAAGTAGGATTGACCGATCGCTTTTTGTATAAATCATAATATTTGACTTTTGATATTTGTGGGTACACTTTTCTCGTTTTCATATCGTTACATCTTTCGCACTTTCTCAAAAATTTTAGACGATCCGATGTAATCTGTATAAGATTTCACGATACTGCGTAGATACAGGATTACTTTGAGATCGAGAGGATAGAGAAAAATTTCGTGTATCTTTTTCGTGGAAATGTTTCTTGCTTAATCATCTGTACTGCATGTTGTCAATGTTAATGTAATATTTACTCGAAAGATATATTATATTTAACTCAATCTGTTTTTTGCTAGAAACAGTAAGTAAATATACTTCTGTTTAAGTAAATATATTTAATATCTTGTTACAGATGACAATGTAATAGTGAATTATAAATCAAATTTTCCATAAGGAAATAAATTATAGATGGTCATTCTACAGTTTACAGTAGATGACTGAAAATGAATGATATAGAAAGCATAAGCATGAAAGGCAGTGGAGGATCTAAGATGCCTCATAGTCATTCGACTCCAGCAGGTGTGGATGGAGGTAGTAGAACCCCTCCTACAACACCTAGAAAAGCTGGTAAAATGCTTGCTGTTCGTGTGCAGATGTTGGATGATACGATTACAATGTTTCAAGTTCAGGTAATTTTTATAATAGTTTCATGAAATGGTTCTGTTCATTGGCGAGGTAGTTACAAATGTAAGACACAAAATATTAAAAGTGACATGCTTTCATTTCAAGTTTACACTGAGCTAAATATATCATAACTTCTTTTATAATTGATGCAAAATATCTTTAAATATTAACGTATATGAAATAAATATTAAAAATTGTATTAGATTGATTTTATAATGAGAAGTAAGTCAATTATATATCTTTAGTCACATGTTCAACTAATCAGTATTTTAATGTAATTACTAAACTAATTTAATATAAAATCACTGTATGAGATATATGCCATAATGTCTAAGAATAGAAAGGAGTTCTTTTTTAGTTTGATGTATTTTTTATTTATAGAACTATAACAATGTTTTCTATTTTTAAATATTTTTATAAATTATTGTTTGTCATTGTATTTATTTGATAACAAAAAATCATTTATTTTATGCTATCTACGCATGTAATACTTCTAAATGAATAATTGGAGCAGATAATTGGTGATACTATATTGCATGGAGTAAATGTATTGATGTATTGATTATTCATAAAATATATATGGTGCATCTAAAGCATATTTTCAGTTGTCTTAGAGGGTAATTTAAAGTGTGATAACTTTATTTTGAAATATCTGACATTGGAAATTTTTTGCGATCAAAGTAATTAGGCTTGTACTATTTTAAGTTTATTTAAATTTTAGGCAAAAGCTTTAGGCAGAGTGTTATTTGATCAAGTTTGCAAACAGCTACATCTTTTGGAAGCTGATTATTTTGGTTTGGAGTACCAGGAACCTAATGGAACGAAAGTAAGAAGCTAATAAATATGTGTTGTTGAATAATTTGTATATACAATTTTGATATTTACCAACAGTATTTATTTGCAGTATTGGTTAGATTTAGAGAAGCCGGTTTGTAGACAAGTTGGACTATCACTAATAGATCCCATATTAAGATTTTGCGTTAAATTTTATACACCTGATCCAGCACAATTAGAAGAAGAGTTTACAAGATATCTATTTTGTCTTCAAATTAAACGGGATTTAGCCCAAGGTCTATTACAATGCAATGATAATACGGCAGCTTTGATGGCGAGTTATATTGTGCAGGGTAATAATAATTCATTTTAAAATTATATAAATGAAAACGAATTAAAAAGTAGAATAGTTTTACGACAAATGATTAATTATTTTAGCCGAGTGTGGAGATTATGTGATAGAGGATTATCCAGATCATACGTATTTGTCAACTTATAAATTTGTGCCTCATCAAGATCAAGAACTAGAGCGTCGCATTATGGAAAATCATAAAAAACACGCGTAAGATAATTAACTTTGTTCAAATATGTATAAAGTTTCAATGTCCTGAAAATGTTACGTTTTGTAAACAGAGGCCAATCACCGGCAGAAGCAGATCTCAATCTGCTGGAAACAGCGCGTCGCTGTGAATTGTATGGGATGAAAATGCATCCAGCTAAAGTAAGTATCGCAAGATATGACTTATGCTATGCTTGAGTATATAATCGTTGTTGCATTTCATTTGTTATCGAAGGATCACGAGGGTGTACCGTTGAATCTGGCTGTGGCACACATGGGGATAGTAGTCTTTCAAAATTTCACCAAAATAAATACATTCAGTTGGGCTAAAATCAGGAAAATCAGCTTTAAAAGGAAACGATTTTTAATTAAACTTCATCCAGAGGGTTACGTAAGTGTATTATGTTCTGTTCAAATAATGTCGAAACGAATCCTTGAAGAACTGGGTTTGAAAATTAACTATTTCGCGCAATGTTTGTAGGGTTATTACAAAGATACTGTGGAATTCTTTTTCGAAGGACGCAACGAATGTAAAAATTTTTGGAAAAAATGCGTAGAGAATCATGGATTTTTCCGTTGTTCGGTGGTCAAACGAGTAGTACGACAAAAAACACGAGTTCTCAGTCGTGGCTCGTCATTTAGGTATGCGCGTTTGCGCTAAAAACATTCCATATTATGTTATGCGTATAAAACGTATAAGGTATGTAAGCCGATTTAATGAAATTTCTTGATATTGCGTTATTAGGTACAGCGGGAAAACTCAGAAGCAAATCGTGGAATTTGTTCGGGACAATTACGTGAAGAGGCAAACGTTTCAAAGGTAAGTTGGATTAGCACCGCGAAATGTCGTTCTATGATTGAATCAATTCTTGGATACACTAGTAATGTGTAGCTAGTGCATGCGTATCGTTATGTACTGTCCCCTTTTAATGCTGGTTTTATACCATTGAGATATATTTTAATTAACGAGCGCACTAATCTTGCGTGGGTAAGACGGGAGGTGGCACGGTCTTGCTTTTGCCGGGACATTAATTGGTATTTATCATGTCTATCGTTGTTTCAATTTTAAGTAGAACGAAGTGTTTACTCTATTCGTTTTGTACTTTCGTGTGTCAGTGTTGCCTGTTCGGACAGGGGTGGCGGGGAGTCAGGCTCACCATCAGGCACGATAACCCGAATGATCAATGTACCCTATTTTTGATAGTGTGGTCACTAATTCTCGTCGTTGTAACACCTAATGATACACACTGCAAAGTTACCATACTTCACTGTCCCGATCGAATCTTTACCAATCAGATATTTCTCCATCGTAGTAGCCTACTCTACAATAGAGCATAGAGATTACGTACTTCCTTTATAATAATTTCATCCTTGTACATACAGTTAACAGGTATACATAATTTTTTATCACGCAATATCGATGTACAGTCAGATAACATTACTAAATAATGCGCTATTAGAGCGAAAAGCATCGTGTTTCACCGATAGATTCATCGCCGTTTGTGTGCACATTTTTATCGAATATCTCCGTGTGTGCGATAATTGAGCATGCGAAGATAACGAGTACTCGTGCGCAGATCCTTTACGCGTAGCATTAACAATAGTTTGCGTGCAAAAATATAACTAGTTTACAAAATCATTGAATTTTGAATGTAAAACTGTAAGCACAGGATGTAGGAAAATTATTAAAGGCAATGAGAGCAAATGTTTAGGTGATAATGGAGGGGATTTTTAACGATGATATGGTATCTTGTGTATAAAGGATAGTTTTCATACGATTGCTTGTTAACATTGCTATTATTACCATTATTTGACTCGTATATTTTCTGTTTAACTTAATGTACTATTTTATCGTTTTGAGGGCATACTTGATTATTTGAATATTGTTGTTTTACCGCGATCGTGATATTGGTTGCGATATAAGGGTAGTAAACATCGCGAACGCGAGTGACACGCAACTTTTTCTTCCATACAAATACATATGTATTAAAGGAACGTTTATGAGAGAGAGAGACAAAGAGATTTAAGAAGGAAAGGAGACCCTTGAAACGATAATGGTTAACCGAGTAAGCGTAACGAGAAAGCTACTATTTTACAAGAGATGATAGGAAGGTGGAAAAAAAAATGCGAAAAATATTAGTTAGTTCTGGACAGGCTTGGCATTTGGTAGCCTAAGTCTGATGCTGAACTTGACTCTCTCTTGCTCGCAGGTCCAATTCGTTCCGGCAGACTAGCGGTGGTAGGGCATTGCAGGGCTTGGAGGGGGGAGGCTATCGTGGGGCCACTCCAAGCAGCTCCCTTATGGGCAGCTCCAGCATCTCTGCCCACCCCCTCCTGCCCCTCGGCGATCCTGGTATGTACCATGACCGACACCAACCTCCACGAGAAACGCTTTCTTTTTCATACCCCCGCTCTTTGCCTCTGTTTCGTTTCTTTTGTTTTTTCTTTTCTTTTTAAAAGATCAGTTTCTCTCGATCGTCTTCTCGTTTTTCCTTTCGTTTTCATTTACTGTGTTACCGTTTATTCTTCGTTCGTCCCCTAGCATTATTTTATTTTTGACATAAGTTCTGTTGAAGTATCGTACATAAAGTATCGTAAAAGTAGAGAGTAGTAGAGTTAGCGTATTGCAAATAGAACGCTTTTAAAAATGATTATCTGGAGTTTATTATCTGAGGCTTGTTTACGTTGTTCCGTCAAGAGAATGTAAACGCGGAAAAAGGCTATAAGGGAAGGTATACTCGTAAGAATATCGAATGTATCGATTCGCCGGGAAGAAGGTCTTGGAGCAATCGAGCGAAAGCCGATGAGTTCAAAGATCCTTCGGAATCGCAAAAGGCAAATCGAACGGGAAAACAAGAAAAAATGAGATAACAGAAGGGTGGGCAGAGGGAAAATAGTGGGAATTATGGAGGGAGAAGGAACGCAAGGAAACAGGGTTCGCGAGCGGGGGTAGGTGTACAATACCGGAAATGTAAAAGCTAAAGAAGGGAATAATTTCAGCCCTGGAAACCCCAGCTCTGTCTCTATCATGCGGCTCGATGACACTGGATTCTCCGACGACTGTGACGAGTGTCTCGATGGGAGGGACGATTCACCGTCGCGAAGACACAGCTACGTCGTTTCGGACACTTACCTCCATCGACGTCCATTCCCCGGCCACTCCCAGCCAGGTCCCAGTACCGCGGCAGATGCTTGCTGCCAGCCAGCAACGGATTTCATCAGCAGGTCGTATCAGCCCCTCTAACAGCAGTCCTCCTGAATTTCCCCCACCGCGACCTATGCCTAGACATCCCTGGCAGCGATCGGCCAGTTGCCGCGAGTTGTACGCTTCTAGCTTCGAGGATTCAGGGAAAGCGCGATCGAAGGACGACAGACCTTCCGATGATCCTATATTGGAACCTTTCCGTTTGCCCTCCCAGGGAGAGCTAGACAATCCCGTGACGCGGTACGATGAAAGTAATCGATCGTACAGCGCGGCTAGCTCGAAGTTACCCTCTCTCGATCACGACTCGGTACCCGAGCGTGTCTATAGTAGCTCCTACCCGGGAACTTCGTCGCTCTCCACTGAATCTGGCCACGAGGAATCTGGTCCTGCGGGAGATCTCTCTCACGACGATCTTTCGCACGATTCCTACGAACTTTTGGAACGCGAGCACGAATTTGAATATCCGGAATCGTATTCGAGTCCGCGGGACGACGACGACGAGAACGAGCCAATGTCCGATAGGAGCGACGAAGGAATCGAGCACGAGATGTTCCAAATGGATTCCGAGACCGATTCCTTCGTGAAACACCGATCGATCAAATCCACGGATAGACAACAATTCAAATCTGTGCTCGCGGACCTCAAGAACGCTAGAACAAAGTCTATCGATCGGTACTCAGCCGTGACCGCGAAACCAGACAGTGACTATATCACCGTTGAGTCTCGAATACAACGATCTAGCACTCAAATCGAACGAAAATTCGAGACACGACACGCTAATTCGATAGAGCAACAACAGCAACAACAACAATCTAAACATTCTCTTCCGCATCAGGACTCTGGGAGAAAAGATCCTGTCGTGTTGCAAGTGCAAAAACAAAAAATGTCTGTGTTGAACGAGTTGAAAAACTTGAAGCCAAAGTATAAGATCACTCACGTAGATTCGGAGATTTTACGGGATGAGGGTATTATGCGTCCAAAATCTCGGATAGATGATGATTTGAGTCCAGTAGATTCGACCAATAGAACGATCATAGATCAAAGAGCTAGGACAGTCAGAGCACGCAGTATTGCCAGTTTGGAAGACCATATATCACGCGCATACGTAGAAACGGGTAGTTTAGGTCGGGGTTACAAAGGTGCTGGTGCAGGTAGTGTTAGTAGCGGTGGTGGTGGTGGTGACAGTGGTGGTAGGGATCGAAAATCGAATCGCGAAAGCGAGACGAAGCTCGAGAAAACGTTGACAAAGTTGCAAGACAAAGAGAGGAGAAGCGTGGACCGAGAAGAGAGAAAACGTGTCGAAAGGGATTATTCCAGGGAGTATTCGAGTAAGAAGGCAGAAAGAAGCGAGTTGAGAGAACGTCGATCGGTCGAGCGATTGGATTCGCGAGATCGAAAATCGGACATGCACGGTCGTCGTAGCGTTGATCGAATAGACGCAAGAGAATTACGAAGAAGCATCGAGAGGCTGGACGTTCGAGAGAGAAGTTACGAACGGCTGGATTCGAAGGAGAAGTCCTTCCGTCACGGTGATCCTTACGCGTTACGCGGGAAGAGCGTCGAGCGATTAGATTGTCAGGAACTTCGAGGTAGCACGGAGTATCTAAACAGAAGTCCGAAAGAAAAGACGGGTCATCGGTATTCCGAATCGAGGGAACGTCGAGAGAGAAGCGTGGAACGGTTAGATTCAAAGGAGAAGAGGAGAAGTCCGGGAAGTCGAAGTAATACGGTCGATTACAACCAGAGGCATACGTTGGAACGTTTTGATTCTGGAAACAAAAGCCCGCTCGAACGACTCAGTGCTGGCAGGGAACATCGTGGAAAAAGCGTCGAGAGATTGGACTCGCAGGAGAAGCCGACATTTGATTTCGATCCCGTTACGATCGAAAGATTGAAGTCTTTGGAGAGGTGCAACAACGTTTCGAAAGACAAAGGATACGATAAAAAAGCGGAGCGAAAGAGCTTCGAAAAGTTGGATTCGCGCGAACGAAGGCACCCAGATCGACTGGATTCACGCGAGCGAAAGCAATTGGATAGGTTTGACTCGAGAGCAGGAGGAGGGGGAGGGGGTGGAGGAGGAAGAAGTTTCGAGTGCATCGAACAGGTCTACGATTGGAGGAGAAACAGCATAGAGAGGATCGAGTACAAGGAATCGAGGAAAAGTAAGGGACGAACAGAAAGGGGAAAGTCCGAGGAGAAACCGCGTGAAAGGGACGACTGGAGGAGCTTGGAGAAAGCGCGAAAGGACGAGGAGAAGCGCGAGCGAGAACGACAAGCGAGGCTCTCGATAGAGTCGAGGACGGACACGGTGATCGGTGTGCCGATGGAAATGGAAAATTTTAAATCAAAGACCATGTTTACGGAGTACGAACCGAAGATCGTGGGAGGTGTGGTGCTGGGTTTCGACGACACGATACCGGGTCATACACCGGTCGAACGTACCAAGAGCGATCCGAATCCGGCACGGCAGAGGTTAGGCTCGAACAGTAAACGGCACATACTGATGCATCAGAAATCCATCGATTTAACGCCAGCTGATTCGGGAGACGAAGATCCGTTCTCGGACAGTGCGGCTATGCAAAAGGCGAACATCGAAATACCTTACATGTTGCACAAACGACACGTCATGAATGGTACCGCATCTGACGAGAAGTCCGAGTCGGATAGCGGCAAAACCATTTCGAAAAAGGCCGGTGCCGTTCGAGATCTTCCCAAGTTGCCTTTGAAAATGATCACGGACATTTCTTGTTTCGATCTGTCTAAGCTGTCCTCGATAGACAAGCCTAGTAGCAAGCTCTCGCCTGACAAGCCAAAGAGCGTTTCGATCACGCCCATGCGACCTAAATCGATACTCTCAAGCCCGTCCGATAAACCGAAAAGTATCTTGAGTCCTACGTCGAAGTTATCACCTACCGACGCGAAAAACGTAGTTTGCAGTTTCTCTCCAACGAATAGAAGTCCATCCAAGGCAGGTTCGAAGGCTCCGTCACCCGATAAACAGCCGTTCAGATCCGCGTCGTTCGATAAAAACCGAACGGAAATCGTGATCGAGGATCGAACGGGTATTAAATCGTCCAGTCTCGACAAGAAAACATCGAAATTATCACCGATCGAACCGAATGTCACCATATTATCGTCGATCGAGAAACGCTCGCCCAAGATGTCTCCCACAGATCCTAATGTAACAATAGTTTCTGTGATACAAAAAAGGAGGACATCACCCTCGGAGTCATCCAAGAGCTTCGCAAGCGCGCAACGGTCGCTCGATTCGAAGGTGAAGCCTTTGAATTTTGCCGACGTGGTTGGAATGGAAATGAAGATGAAACTCGAGCGTAAGGCCAAGTCCGAAATGGAAAAGGACAGTCTGAAAACGCCGGATGATAGCTTGGAGAAGCAAGACAGTATAGAAAAAATACCATTGCCGGAAATTCCTAAACCGGCTGCGACCGGGATAGAAGACGAAAGATTCGGCTCCGATAAGGTAGAAAAAGTTTCGCCCATAGACGACTCCTCCCGAAAAACGTTCGAAGGCGAAATCGTTGACGTAGATGGCAAGCAAATTAAAGATGAGGAACAAACTGAACAGTTGGAACCGCAGTCGCAGGAAAAGAAGTTGGAGCAAGTAATGGATGTGCAATTAGAACAAAAAGACAAGGAGAAGGTGAAGAGGGAAGAGAAGGAATCTTTACCTTCGGCTACTACCGTTGATGTAATCTCGGAGAAACCGAAAGTTCCGGAAAAACCAAAGACATTGGAGAAACCGAGCATACCGGAAAAAACGAAACGCATCTTGGAGAAGATAGAGTCAAAGTTTTCCGAAGCTAGAATCGCTAAACCGAAGATCATCGATACCGGATTCGACGATTTCGTGGAACCTGTCGCAGATCTGCCTTTGGACGAAGTGCCTGTGAAGCCCGCGTTAGAACTGGACAGCCTTAAAGTTCCTGAATTCGTTCCTTTCATGTCGAGGCCACACGGCGAACCTCTGCGCTCGAAATCGTTATCGCTAGCCGAAGAGAAAGCACCGATCGATACTTTGCTTTCGCCGGAAGTCGAGAACAAACACTTTGTTCCGGATGTGTCGCCGAAAAGGGCGAAGAGAGCGAAACCAGAGCCAAAGAAGGATTTCAAGAAACAATCCAAGTCGCTCGAGGGAGACAAGCCTCCTTTGAAGAAAGCAACCTCGAAGGAGTCCCGCGTAACCACGCCCAGCTCGAAGATCGACAAGTCCAAATTGAAGTTGGGAGAGATGCCTCAGGAAATCATCATAATCGACTCGACCGACGTGGCACCAGAGGTGAGCATCGTTCAGAAAGGTAGATCCAAGTCTATCACTCGATTGCCCGAGAAGGCATATTCCGCGTCAAAGGAGGAGAAGGAGGAGAGCAAAGGTGGTACTCGAGCGAAATCCGCCTCGGTTGACGACGATTTGATCAAAGTTACCGCGGCATCCGGCGTGAAATCCGAAAAAACGAGACCAAAGTCGTTAGGTATTTCAAAGAGCCTGAGTAGCAGCGCCGAAAGAAAGGATTCCGCGGAGAAGATATCGCCAAAGAGAACGATCGTTGAACGGTCGAAAAGTGGCACCAAGTCCGAGACTAAATCGACGGAATTGAAATCGCCTACATCGATGAAAGAAATAGTGGTGTCGAAGTTGCAGCAGGAATCTAGAGCGTTGCGTGCGAAAATCGATTTGAAGGCGGAAACCGATATCGAGGAGTCGAGGGCCGATACCGATTTCGACGCACGAGAGCGCGAGACTATGGACGCGTCCAGACCTATAGAAGATCGCGCCTTGGAGAAAAAGAGCTCGTATCCACAGGATTTGACGCAATCGCCGGTAATATTGCGAAAGCTGGGACAAACGCCCGTTCTATTTGCCCGTGCGCGTCTCGGTCTATCGGAGGGAAGCGGAATCGGTGCATTGCAAAGGCAGGGCGCAACGCAGTCTCCGACCTCTCAAAGGCGAGCCAAGTCGTTGGACGCTCCGGTGATAGCGGTGCACAAACTTCCACCGGCG